GGGGGGGGGCGATGACTTAGTAGGATTCTTTGGTAAGACTAGGCTGGGCAGGCAAAGACAGGCTCAGCATCATAGTTCAGGAGAGCTCAGAGGATTCTTTTGACTAAAGTTTAGTCAGAGTGACAGTCTTTGTCACTTCTGGATGCCTCAGTTTCTTCCTCTCTGAAATGGGCATAAGAAAAGCCTCACACTGAGAGCTGCTGCCAGGATTAAATGAGAAAAGGCACGTAAGCGCTCAGTAAATGGCAACCATTTGCCCAGTGGGGATTTTGAACTCATTAGTCCAAGCTATTACCTTGACTGATAAGAGACCTCAGATGACTGGGCTGCAGGTGATCAGAAATCCCTCCCGGAAGTTAAGGGGGAAATCCCAGCCAGTAAAATGAGAGTGGCCAAGTAGAGGGCCGGGTGGAGCCAAGAGAAGGGTGGTGGGACGGGATGGAATAGGGATCCACATGGCAGGGGGTGGAGGGTTGACTAGCCCCCGAGGCAGCTTCGAACGCTGAGATGAGAACTCGAGCCTATGACCAGGATCAGAGACAAACAAATCTGACTAAAGTGCACAGCCGGGAAATTCAAGGTCTGAAGGCAACGCCCACAAACCTTGCTCTGGCTACTACTTCCGCGTCTCCTCCCCTACCCCGGTAGCAGCCAAACGCAGACGTTGTAGTGCATTCAGAAGCCGATCCAGCCATTGGCGGCTGAGTCACGAGTAAAACCAAGGACCACTCAGAGTGCCGTTGTCGCGTCGAAAAGCCCAGGAGTTGAAAACGAAGGGCCACGGCAGTAGCCAATGGGCGTGTGCGTTTCAGGCGGCCAATGGGAGGCGGCATCTCACAGGCGAACAACCCTCCGGCTACCAGCTACAGAGGCGGGGCGGGGTCCGAGTTGGAGCCGGAGTTCCCGAAGAAGGGTGAGTTTAGAGATGGGCATATAAGGGACGCTCCTGGGAGGTCATCAGGAAAGAGGCTCGGGGACTTGCTGCGTCTCACAGGCAGCACTTGGATGGGAGCACCCTCTGCCTTGGGTCTGGTGCGATGCCGGGTGGGTGCACAGCCCCATTTTCTGCCCCTGCCAACCGGCTTTGGAGGTTTTGGGGGGCGGTGGGTGCAGCCTTCCCAGGTGCAGACCTTACCCCGACCTCATCTTCAAGGATATGTCTGTTTACAGTGAGGACGAAGAAGGAGGAAGTGGGCACGCGGAAAGCCGCATCTCCAGAATCCCATCTCAAACATTAGTAGATATTAATAGCGAGCATTTGTTAAGTGCTTACTCTGTGCCAGGCCCTTTCCTCGCCCTACCTCATTGAATCCTCCCAACAATCTTTTGACTAAAGACTGTTACACACCCATTTTCCAGATAACAAAACAAGCTCAGAGAGGACGGATCTGACTTTTTGCCGTTATAACTTTTTCCTCTTCCCATCACTGTCTTAAATTAGCAATGTCAGTGGAATCCCCGACAGCCCTTTCATGACAATACTGGAGACCTGAGGAGGCCTAGGCCCTGAATTTGGGGGACAGAGTTGACCCTAATCTTCTTAGCTTTGGGCAGTCAGCAGGGACTGGGAGTTACTCATGGGAGCAGGTGTGGGAGACAGAATCATAACCTGAAAGAAAAAAAGATCATAATAATGAAATTAATCATAATTATTTTAATTTTGATCATATTTGTTATTTTTTCATGTCTCCATCAAGGTCTGAGCTGAATGTGTAACATGCAGAATTGCATTGAAACACCACAACCATCTTTTGATGGCAGTGTTCTCACCACCTCTCTTTTCTGGATGGGGAAAGTGAGGCCCAGAGTGGCTAAGTGACTTGCTAGAGTTGACACAGGGAGCTCTAGGACTCACTCCATCTATCTCCCTGGTTATTTCAGGAAGGTGAGTTCAGAGTGTGTTGTTACATTGGTGCCTATTTGTCAAAAGAGGTTGGGTCCAGGTGCAATGCCTCACACCTGTAATCCCAGCACTTTGAGAGGCTGAGGCAAGAGGATCACTTGAGGCCAGGAGTCTGAGAGCAGCCTCAGGCAACACAGCCAGACCCCATTTCTACAGAAAAAATATTTAAAAATTAGCTGGGAGGCTGGATGCAGTGGCCCACACCTGTAATCCTAGCACTCTGGGAGGCTGAGGTGGGTGGATTGCCTGAGCTCACAAGTTTGAGAACATCCTGAACCAGAGCAAGACCCCGTCTCAAAAAAACAGCTGGGCATTGTGGTGGGCACATGTAATCCTAACTACTTGGGAGGCTGAGGCAAGAGAATGCTTAAGCCCAAGAGTTTGATGCCATAGTACTCTACTTAGGGCAACAAAGTGAGACTGTCTCAAAAATAAAATAAAAATTAGCTGGGCATATTGGCATGTGCCAATAGTTTCCCCTACTCAGGAGGCTGAAGTGGTAGGACCACTTGAACCCAGGAGTTAGAGGCTGCAGTGATCTATGATTATACCACTGCACGCCAGCCTGGGTGACAGAGTAAGACCCTTTCTCTAAGTGGGGGGAAAAAGAGGGGTGGAGTTGGTATTATCATTGGTGACAGATCTTTTGGGATGCATATACCCTAACCCTGTCAAACAAATGTAGAAACTGGAGCCCAGAGAGAAGAGAATTTGATGTCTAAGGTCACATAGTGAGAGATACCCAGAAATCTCTGAGGTGTTAAAGGGGGCCTCTAGGCTGAAGCCTAGGACATGATGGACTATTCTTTCCCACCCAGGCCAGTTTCGGGAGCATGCCTCTGTGCCAACTGGGGGCCTCCAGGGGCAGCAAGCCTGATGGGACCCGAACTCAGCCCATGGCTGCCGTAGGAGGCCTGAAGGTGCTTTTGCACTGGGCTGGCCCTGGTGGTGGGGACCCCTGGGTCACCTTCACTGAGGGCTCGCTGACTGCTGAGGAAATCTGCATCCACATAGCACACAAAGTTGGTGAGTCTGGGGCCTCAACACCATCGAGGCTGGGAGTTGGTGGGAGTACAGGCAGCTTCTGGGCCTCATCTGTCCATCTATCCATCTGCCCATTCATTCAACAAGTGCTGAGTGAGCACCTACTATGTGCCAGCCCCAAACTGTAGCCTTTGTAGAGCAGATATTCTAGTAGGGAAGACAGCAGAAACATAACAAATAAATAGCCAGGAGGCGAGGGGCAGTGGCTTATGCCTGTAATCCAGCACTTTGGGAGGCTGAGGGAGGAGGATTACTGGAGTTCAGGAGTTGGAGACTATAGTGAGCTGTGATCATGTCACTGTACTCCAGCCTGGGCAACAGAGTGAGACCCTGTCTCTAAAAAAATAATAATTACAGAAATAAATAGCCAGGTGTCGTGGCTCACACTTACAATCCTAGCATTCTGGGAGGTCAAGGTAGGTGGATCATCTGAGCTCAGGAGTTCAAGACCAGCCTGAGTAAAATCGAAGCCCCTGGCTCTACTAAAAATAGAAAAACTAGTTGAGCATCATGGCAGGTAACTGTAGTCCCAGCTACTTGGGAAGCTGGGGCAAGAGGATCTCTTGATCCCAGGAATTTGAGGTTGCTGTGGGCTATGATGCCATGATACTTTACCCAGGATAACAGAGTGAGCTCCATCTCAAAAAAAAAAAAGTTAGGACTGGGCAAGGTGGCTCACACCTGTAATCCTAGCACTTGGGAGGCTGAGGCGGGTGGATTGCCTGAGCTCACAGGTTCAAGACCAGCCTAAGCCTAAGTGAGGCCTTGTCTCTAAAAATAGCTGGGTATTATGGCAAGCGCCTGTAGTCCCAGCTACTTGGGAGGCTGAGGCAAGAGAATTGCTTAAGCCCAGTAGTTGGAGGATACTGTAAGCTATGACAACGTGGCACTCTATGTAGGGTGACAAAGCCTGACTCTGTCTCAAAAAAAAAAAAAAAAAGAATTAAATTTTTAAATGAAATTTTGACATAAAAAAGTAAGAAAACTGTGGGAGGGCCCAGAGATGATGGAGGAAAACTGAACTGCAAAGGGAGATGTAGAGTGCTGGGAGTGGAGAGAGGTTTCTCTGAGAAGGTACTGCTTGAATATAAGGTTAAGTAGGTGAATGCAGAAGTCGTGGAGATATCTGGGCAGAGGGAACAGCAGGTGCAAATGCCCTGAGGTGGGAACTTGTTAGGAACACCAAGGAGGCCAGTGTGGCTGGAGCAGAGTAAGGGCAGGGGAGATAGGGGGAGGTGACAAGTGAGATTATGTATGGGCTTGCAGGCCTTGGAGAAAACTCTAGATTTTATTCTGAGTGACATAGGAGCCCTGGAAGGCTATGAGCAGAGGAATAATGTGACTGGACTCCAGAGTACACAGGCACCCTCTGGCTGCTGTGGGTTTAGGGGTGGTGAAGGCAGGAGCCAAGAGAGTAGGGCAGAGGTGACCTTTAGGTAGGAAATGAAATGGGGAGGAGAACTAGGGCCAGAGCTTGTGTGCCAGAGGGAGGACTTTAGAGCTTAAGCCTCCTTTTGAGAACAAAGGGGAGCAAAACCCTGGAATGGCTTAGAGTAAGGTGACCAGATTTTAACATTGGTAAAGCGGGACACCATTGGCCTGGGGGTGGGGTGGGGTTCTTAATTAAAAATTTGGTCTGTATGGAGCAACAAAAATTTTCATAGAACACAAAAATAGTATTGTAATATTTTTTTAATTTCTATATAAGTACAATTTACAAATATAATACATTAAAAAATTATGTATAGTATCTTATTCTTTGGCATATTTCTCATTTGCGTGAATTTTTTTTAGTAGATTGCTGTCATTTTTAAAAGGCCATGAAATTTTTCACAAGAATTTGTTAAATTATATTTCACACATAAAATGGCTTTCAAAGTCTCAACACTTAATTGTGATTTTTCT